AAAGCCCCAGTAGATAGTTGTATGTCATAGCTGCACATCCTTCTAGTTGCTGTATGTGGGACGCGGCCTCAGCATGGCCGGAGAAGCGGTGTGTCGGTGCGCGCCCGGGCTCGAACCCGGGCCGCCAGCAGCAGAGCACGCGCACTTAACCACTAAGCCACGGGGCCGGCCCATCTGAAATGTTTTGATTTGAGTTTTGTTTTCTTTTTTATCAGTAGCTTTGAATGGAGTTGGTTTTTGTTTTTGTTTTGTATTTTTCCTGTTTTTAGGTATTTTGTGGACACAGCTCAAGAGCACCTTTTGTTAGTATAGTGACTTGCAGTTTCTGTAATGGATGATTCTGATGATGGTCATAGTGGTAGGAAAAGGGGAGGAGCTGGCATATCTTGTTGCTCTTTTGTTTCTGCAGGATCTTTAGTTTTGTTCCTCTTTTGCTTCACTGCCACGTCAAGATGCCCCATCCTTTCCCTGTTTACCTGATTCTCCCCCGGAAGCAGTGCTTCTTGTCTTAATACCTCCAGTCCAGCTCAATTTTTTTTTTTTTTGGAGGAAGATCGGCCCTGAGCTAACATCTACCAATCCTCCTCTTTTTGCTGAGGAAGACTGGCCCTGGGGCTAACATCCTTGCCATCTTCCTCCACTTTATATGGGACACCGCCACAGCATGGCCTGACAAGCCGTGCGTCGGTGTGCGCCCGGGATCCGAACCGGCGAACCCAGGGCCGCCGCAGCGGCGTGTGCGCACTTAACCGCTTGCGCCACTGGGCCAGCCCCTCAATTTTTTTTTAAACAGTTTTACTAAAGTATAATTCCATACCATGTAATTCACCCATTTACATTGTAAAATTTAGTGGTTTTTATTTATATTCACAGATATGTGCAACCATTACCATGGTCAGTTCAACATTTTCATTACCTCAGAAAGATACCCTGTTTCGCCCTCCTATTCCCTTAACCCCCGACCATAAGCAACCACTAATCTACCATCTGTCTCTACAGATTGGCCTATTCTGAACATTTCATTAAATAGAACCATATAATATGTGGTCTTTTGTGACTGGCTTCTTTCATTTAACATGATGTTTTCAAGGTGCATCCATGTGGTTGCATGAATCAGTACTTCATTCTTTGTTATGACTTAATAATATTGCATTGTATGGTTATACCACATTTCTTTTAGCCATTCATCACTTGGTGGACATTTGGGTTGTTTCCACTTTTTGGCTATTATGCGTAATGCTACTGTGAACATTTGTATATAAGTTTTTGTGGACATAAATTTTTGTTTCTCCTGGGTATACACACAGGAGTAGAATGTTAACTGCCTTCCTTGTGGCCGGTGCTGTGAACTTCCAAATCCCAGGCCTGTGTTCGGTATTTTAGTACTTAGTGTTGCACTTCCTCTTTCTGGGAATGATTTTGTCTGTACTTCAGCTGTGTCCCTTGCTTCCTTCTGCTTTTTTTCTTAGAGTCTCTTAAATGTCACCTACTACCCTTGCTTTCTGTACTCACAGGCTTGCAGCAGTAGCAGGAGGTTTAATGGAATTTGTTCTTTATTTTTCTACTTACAAGTAATTTGAAGTCTGGATATTCTCTGCCTCCTAGTAATGTGAAAGCATGGGTTGTGTGTGGTTTTGTATATGCCCCGTCTTGATCTAAGGTTTAGGTTTCTTTGAGTGGCTGTGTGGAGAAATTCAGATTCTGGTGGCTATCATTACCCTCTAGAACCTGGAAGCTACACAGTTGGTGAATAAATTAAATTAGTTTGCATAAATATTTTAAACTTCTTGTGATACTTTTACTGAAGTCTCATTTTAAAATGATCATTCCTAATGTAGCCAAATTAAGGAAAACATCTTTTGGCTAAAAAATTTTGTTTCTGGATAAAGTCAAGTTCATACATTTAATCTTACAGATCTTATATCTATGAGGACAGGAACAATGCTATCTTGGTTAGTCTTATCACCCTAAGCGTGTAGCACTGTGTCTAGTGTGTATTAGATAGTCAGTAAACATATTGAGTGAGTTAATAAGGGCTTTATTGAATAGTAATTGTATGCATGGTACCATGAGAGTTGTTGAAGTTTAGCATCTTATATTTAATCTCAAAGAATTGATAGTTGGAGGAGCCAAATATATATATTATTGATCTTGCTTCCTTTCTTGAAACATTTGTTTCTTTTGGGCTCTGTAACAGTTTACTTGATTTTCACCCCGCTCTGTGGCTGCTCCTTGTCTTAATCTTTGAAGGCTCCACTTCCTTCGCATAGTTCTTAAATGTTTGCTTTTGTTTTTCTTCTCTGTGTATTCTTCCCTGGCCACTTGACTTAACTTCTATTGCTTCAGTTGCCATCTGTATAACTAGAAATCTATATCTCTTTCCTAGATCTCTTTTCTGAGCCCCAGATCCATGTGTTCTCCTGGCTGCTGAATATCTCCACTTGTATGGTCCATGACTCCTAACTGAATAAATCAGTTGTCCTTTTCCTCTTTAACTCTGATACTTCTCCAGGATTTCTCAAATTGGTATATGACATCAGCATCTCAACCATTACCCCTCTCCCTCCTCCAAATCTAGTCAGTCACGTGTACGTTACCTACTAAATATAACTCAGGTCCTTCTACTTTTCTTCACCCTCACTGTCATCCTGACAGACCAGCCTGCGATTACCTGGGTCGTTGCAGCAACTTCCAGTCTTGCTCTCTTCCAGTCCAATCTCTACAAGCATCAGGGGTAATTATTCTGAAATACATCTGATCATCTCACTCTCAGGTTAAAATAGTTGCCTCATTCATTTCAGAAAATGGAATCATCAAGACAGATAAAGTGTTTGAAGTAATGCTGGCCACAGACCGCTCCCACTATGCAAAATGTAACCCTTACATGGATTCTCCACAATCAATAGGTAAGCTTTGGATTTCTGAAAATGTCACATTTTTACTCATTTACTGTTTAATTTTTGTAGATAAGGATAGACTGGGACACAGATATTTATTATTACCTTGCTAGTTTGAATTTTATGCCTTAGTAAGTTTCATAATAGCAAACATACCATTTTAATGAAATGATGTTATATATGGAGTATCTTTTCTATTTTCTCAAACAATATATAATATATATAAAGAATTTTTTAAAGCAGTTTTTCTTAAAGTATACTTTTAATGAAAACTTACAGTTTAAGCTGAGTGCCGAGTTTTTCTTTAGGGGCCTTAATGTTGACTAGGGTTGTTTTTTGCATTAGCGTCAATTTTTAAAATCAGTATTGAAGGAATAAGTGTAATTAAGTTTTTCCTGACTTCTCTGCTTCACTTGCCCTGACTTTTTTGGGTTGTGCTTGTTTTCAGAAAGTTCTGTATTTAACTTCTTCTCCTGAAGCAGGTTTTGCTGAACTGCTGAGCCTTGGCAGTGGGCGCCTTTGAGGCTTAGAAGTGCCTCAGCATTCTATCGGCCAGCCGCCGTGCTGTCTTCTTTTGAAGCACTATAAACAGTCAGCAAAAGAGATCCTGGGGAGCTTCTGAACCCCAAAGGCACCTGCTACCACCGCTCAGTGAAAATTGTTCAGATGCAGAAGCAGGTAAATGAGTTTCAACAAAGCAACACTGGAAGAGAAACAACTAAAAGCTAAAAACTAAGAAAAGGTTATGCAACTTAACATCAGGTGATAGTATAAAGAGTAAATTGGAGTAGTTTATTAGTCTCTTAAGCTACTGTGATTGCCAGTTGCTCTTTTTTTTTTAAGTTGCCAGAAATGAAGCAATTTATTATGCAGTTTATTGTGAAGCAATTTAATTTTATACATTATAATTATAAAATAGTGATTTTTAAAATTCTATTATTCCTTCCACATTCGTGGAGCTATGACACAACTATCTACTGGGGCTTTGGGGGGAGAAAAAAAAAAGGAGGAGGATTGGCAATAGATGTTAGCTCAGGGCCAGTCTTCCTCAGCAAAAAGAGGAGGATTAGCATGGATGTTAGCTCAGGG